ACCCAATACTATTATGGTCTACTGGACTCTTTTAGAATATTTTGCTGAGTTAACACACCTATAATATTCAAATGACAGAACTAAACAAAAAAGGGGATACAGATGAATTTTGTATCTGTGTATTCAAAATGGTCAGGATAGTTATATAGTTATATACTTTTAATGAATAGAGGGATTTATTCTAATAGTATTTGTAAATAGGATACCATGTCCGCATCTTGTACAGCAATTAACCACTAGGAAGAATGTATGCAATGTGTTAATTATTGAAACTGTCCTACCAATTTGGTTTGAAACTATTTCACTGTTATTTGTTTCTTAATAAAATTATGGGAAAATTTTTTTTTAAAAATCTTTGATTTAGTTATTTGGTACAGGGTCTCACTACGCAACTTAGATTCCATACTGATCCTCCTGTCTCAGTCTCAGCGTTGGGATTACAGGCGTGCGCCATCATCCCAGTTTTGGTGGCTGGCCCAGCAAGGGCCTAGCACGGCATGTGGTATGAGGGATGGACCCAAGTCTTTGCACTTGCCAGGCATGCGCTCAGACCGCTGAGCTATCTCCCCAGCCGTAAATAAAATATTATTTTAAGAGCTTCATTTATTTTCACTACACTGGGCACTGAATGCAGGGGCTTCTTACTAAGCTACAGGTCCAGCCATTTTTTACTTTTTGTTTTGAGACGAGATCAAAGTCATTAGATTGTCCAGCCTGGGCTCAAACTTTGTACCCTCCTGCCTCAGCCTCCCCGGGTGCTGGGATTACAGGCATGTACCACCACACCTCATTTAGAGGCCTATAACTTGAAAGAAATGTTAAACTACTCAAAATTTGAAAACATTCATTACTTACAGTTTCAGTACACATGTGTGAGGTACGAAAAGAGGTACTCTTAAGATGTATGGTTTAGGAATGTATCTGGACAAAGGGGAAACTTAAAGAAACAGACATCAAGATGTTCCTTCTTGGTAATTTCCTTATTGTCCACTAGTGACCCTAGCCAGGATTGTGAGCCAGACCCCTCTCTTCATGCAGAAAAGTTCTCCAACACACGAAGGACACGCCATGGTGATGCACAGATGACCACCTCACACCACTGCCCCGCGGCGACGCTCACGCACCTCTTGATGGCCACCAGCTCTCCCGACTCATTGCTTTTGCCCATCAGCACGCTCCCATAGGTGCCGTCGCCCAGCTGCCGCATGGTGGTGTAGCGGTTCATGGCAGAAGAGGGCCACCTTCCTTCTGGGCCAGGAACGCACACACTCCTTCGTTTGCTTGCCTTTGCCCCTGCTGTGCTGCTGCTATACTGGTGACAGGTCTGTCATCATTAAGTACAGGCCCGTCCTCGAGCTGTGCAGGCTCATGACACGCGGCAGCCAGAGTCCAGCAAAGGAACACCACTCCCTTCTTATGAACACGCTGTGAGAAAGAAAACAAGACTAGCGTGAGTCTTCGTGGAGGAGCCTCTGCAACGTATTTCCTGGTGACCTACAGCACAGAGAAAGATGAGAAAAGTGTAAATATGCGTGTCAGCTATGCAGACAATATATATAAATTTATATTTTGTAAATATATCTGTACTACGTGGATTGAAGATCACGTATAATATACTGACAGTATTAATGCACTATTTCATTTACATTGTAGTAAGTTACTTAGTCTACCATTGTTCAATATTGGTTTAATGATTTGTATGATTCCTCTTTTTTGGGGGGAGGTATAACCTATATTGTTCCAAGTAAAATCTTGGAAAAATCTGGTTTTTAAACTATTGGGTCCTTGAGCTAGGCCTGCTGGTACACACCTGCAACCCCACAACTCTGGGGACTGAGGCAGCAAGAGCATAAATTTGAGCCCCGCATGGCCAACTTGGTGAGATCTTCTCTCAAAACATAAGGGCCAGTGAGATAGCTCAATGGACTAAGTGTCTGCTTAGGCAAGCACAGGGACCGGGGGCGGGTGGGGGGCTCAATCTCTAGAACCACATGCTGTGCCAGCCCTGCCCCCGAGACTAGGCATGGTGACGTACGCTTATAATCCCAGCAGTGCTAGCAAGGCTGAAAACAAGAGGATCACTACAATTCTGAGCTATGTA